GAATAATATATTGATGGAGAATTTGTGGTTGAAAAAGAAGAAAAATTATTGATGTGATGGAAAATATTATTTTATTGAAGAATGTGTGGTTGAAAATAAGTAGAATAATGAAAATGAAAATTTTAATGTGTACCAAAGAGGACATGAAGCTATTATGTTCACTTGATACTCCCTCTATCATTTCCACTCTTGAATGGTTGGGACATTGAGAATGTCGGAAGGATTCTCCATTAACACCAACTAAATAGCTTTTCACCTCCTTATCCATTGCAGCAAAGGAATTCAATATGCCTTTTGACCCTGATTGATTGATGTTCTCAAGATTCAGTATCATGGGCTGGCAGCTTTTACTGGCTAGTTGAGGGTTGTACCTGCAGGAATCCTCGAATATGGATGTACCTACACATCCTCAACTTAGAGAGCTTGGAGTTGTGATAATGCATAATTTTTGAACTAATATTGATTAATGAATCCCAATAAAATTAATGATTGCAAAGAGATCGCTTCGATTTCACATGTTCTTCATTACTAATACATCGAAAGGTCGAAACTGATCAAGCCGAGCTTGCCTGTGGCCAAACTCGGGAGACCTTTTCGAGAGCTTGACCACCCCATCCTGAAAGTGGTTGAGATCGAGCAACCCATGCATGAGCCTGACCACTTTGGCTGAGCTTGAGGTATCCCTTTCTCAATCAAGGCCATTTGGTCGAGCTCAGGCATTGCTATTCGAGCTTGATCAAACGATCTTGGTCTGACCTCCCCGATCAAATCGATTACATGATCAAGATAGAGCACTTTTGTCCAAACTCGATCATTACATCAATATCGAACTCGTATCTCCTCTGAAAGTTTTTTAGCAAGCGAGTCCGATGTGCCTCGACGAAACTTTGGCGGATCTCAATTTCACATGGTCCACTCGAGACAAATCCCAACAAGGTTCGCCACGTGTCCCTCTAAGGGGTTGGATCTCCAATAAGTGTATACATAAAGGACTTTTCACATTCAAAGTAAATTTAGTGACATCTTTTCACATTCTTTATACTTGTTTCCTTTTATATGAATTCTTTTTA